CCAAGGAACACAGCTTCCTGGATCTGACCGTACACACGTATATACTGTTCAACCTCCTACCGATCCAGTTACACGTCAATCCATCTGTCGCGGGGCTCGTTCATTTTTCAGCATCGACTCTAATTAACAGAGACCGTTCCACTGGCATTCACCACGGATGATTCATTCGAACACTACCCAGGCTTGTGTGCGCCGCTGCCGTCACATGTCGTTCCGTTTTGTGAATCAGCTCTATCTCGGCCAATTAAATGGAAATTTCATCGATGCCGCCTCGTGTGACCGACTAATTGCATTTATTAGCGCGAGTGCCACGGTTGAATTTATCCCCGCGGAATAACACTGATAATCGTGTTTCGAGGACCGTTCCCAGAAACAAGATCAAATTCTGATTAAACTAATCGAGCGATTCTCATTAGAAATACACTTCGTAATAATTCACATTGTACACGACCGTTCCGTATGTACCGAATTGTATCACGATTAACTTCTCCCGAATCACATGAATCCCTTGCATCCTATAAATCGTGTTAATACCTGGACTTTCTACATACCCAGAAGCACGATGCAACTCGACGAACATCCTTCCCCGAGCCCTAAAATCTTCTTCTGTGGAGAACGTTCTTGGTAGGTTGAATGGAACTCAAATAACCAGCTTCTGGTACCTTCGATGGATTCTTCTTTCGCAAAGCTTTTGACGGTGGTCCTCTCGGTAACAAAAACCAAATTTAAAGCACAAAGCACAAGCACAATCAACGTTTAGAGGACACGACCGTGATCGAGCCCGAACGCCTCGTGTTACCGGCGCCACTGATCGACCGTTCCATCCGATACGTCTCCGAAGGCGTCGCGCCGCTCACTGCGGAGACTCCGCTGCGTACCCGCCCTTATAGCATCGTGTTGCGCTCGCCACCTTCCCCTAGTTACTCCCACTACCCTCCCCACCAGGCTCTCCTCACCCCTCCTCTATGACCTTCTGCGCCGTGCCGCGAACCTCGCAAACTCTTCCCTCTGCCGTCGACTCCCCACCACCCCCCATTCGCCAACCCCTCGTGAGCGTCGCCCATATACACCATACACGATAACGCGAGCATTCTGACGTAAGCGTCCAAAAGACCAGCCGATGCGTTCTTCGAGCGTGCTTCCCCGAACACCGCATACGAAAATTGAACACCACTTTGGGAAGATATTTTTCAGTGGATTGCTCTTGCTGGAAATCGAACTGTTGGTATATTCCCCCTGTTTCAACCCTTGATCGTTCTGGCATGATCAGATTGGTGGGATTAAAAGTTAAACGGGTTTTTTTCGGGTGATAAGGGAGTGGGCTCGATGGATTAACGTTGGTGGGATTTTTAAGCAGTAATGTTAGTTGGATGTATATGGTCTGAGTCTGAGTCGCACTGAACTGAGATACCCTGTATAACTCTCATTGAGAATTATTTTGTGGTAAAATAAAAAAAGTAAACCTACTACTAGTGAAATAAAAATGTACAGATTCGAAATGCGAATCAAGGATTTGTTAATTACACCTCGCAGAGAATGTAGACAAGCTGCTACCGTGCGACACAAGAATCTCTCAGAATCAGTGTAAATCAAGTATGCATCCGAGTTCAAGCGTAACACCGTCGGAGATGGAGGGTGGAGACACCCTTCTCCGAACAAAGTGTACGTCGGAAAATGAGCTACCGGAAACGACAACGCGTCAGTTTCAGAAGCTTCCGAGAGATCTGTCGCCGGAACACCTTCCGTGGATATCCCGTGGAAAACTCATCTGCACGGTGAAAAGGGGGTCAAGAGGGTCAGTGGAACACTCGGTGTCTCGGTAACAGCCGCGTCATCTTTTTAAACGATAGGCACCTATTCACCCGCCTCCGTGAAATTTCTGTTGGCTCCGGATTGTCGGAACGAAATAAGAAGGAAAGGACCGACCAGTGGAGTGACGTGATAAACAAATAGAGAGTACTCGTCGACATTCGATATTTGAAACAACGGTGATGGGGGATGTAAAACCGTTAGAAGAACCTTGAGAATAATCTATGGGGGTGGGGGTACTAAAACGGTTAACACACAGCAATAAACTATATTAAACAAAATTGAATAGAATTTTATTTCCTATAATAGGAGTTTAAAATATTAATAGTATTATGCAAATATTATTGAATTTGAGTAGAATTTCTAATTTCCTACGTTTTGCAAGTCAAGGGATGCTATAAACGAATTTACACCGGCAGTTTAATTATAACACCGTACAAACAACTAATACATATAGGACAACAACAGACTGATCCGAAATCATGCACTCTACCCTCACTTAAACATCGACACCTACAAGAAACACACTCAAACCTTGCTTATTCCTCGTTTCAGAACTGCACAACCATTCTTCGAAATTCCAATCACGAAACTAAACACACATCGTTCACACTTCGCTCTTGAAAACCTCTTTAGTTCAGTTAATACAATCATACTCCACAACCGATCCATATTCGTCCACATACCACATGTACTTCTGTTAAGTCGTGTGAGCTCTCCTGGGTAGCTTTCCCTCCACCTGTACCTGATGAGTCTGAATACCACGAAACGTTTGCCCTCGAGCAGCCACGACGATGGATAAATTAATGACGCCGAGACCCCACCACCGACAGCCCGACATACGTCTCCGTCAAGCTGACGCGTACGCACTGTTATGTACCTTCCCAGCTACGTGACAGACGTAGCCGTCTCGTGCGTGTCGACCCTTCTCAGCCCGGGAAATACACCATCCTGTAACGGGGGTCGCTCTCCGCGCAAGAAGAATTCAATTCTGCCCTGAATCCCTCCAATATTACCTGTAGCACTGAGAATTCCTCGGACGACGCGTAACGACGATCAGGGGAATTTTGTTTTTATGTTTTGGGAACGTTCAGGATTTTGTCTTTCATCTTGGATGTGTCGATTAATATTTTCCTATGTCAGAGTAGTAGTTTGCTTGGAATTCAGAATACTTTGTAGGTGGTCTGTTTGGTAAACAGAGATTACCGTGTCGGATGATAGATATTGTGAAGATTCTCAGGATATACTGGGATGACAGTGCAACGGGGAGGTGACTGTACACCGTAAATATTGATGAAAACTGTGGAATAAGATTCCTTCAACTGTTTTTTTTTTTTTTAAAAAACAGTTTATACACAGATGCTGATAGGAAAATGTAGGGAAGGATGCTACCTGTCACCGAAAGGAGGAAAAATAATTTTATCCGTCAACGTGCCACCCCGTAAAAGAAATCCATCGAGTCGACGTTAGAGGAATCCGCCATGAACCAATCCCCTCTTCTCATCCCCAGAGACACTACCCGGCGATCTCTTCTTCCTTTCAGGAATGAAATGAAGTATGTATAACGAGGCCTGGTAGTAACAAAAATCTCATTTATTCGTCCACCGACGTTATATCGCGTCGGCAACACGGACACGCGATGCCGTTAGGCCGCGAGCTAAGAAATACTAGAAAAATTTGTTCGCGTACACAACTGGCACCCAGACGGGCTCGTTAAATCTTCCAGCTAGCCGACATCTGTCCCGTCGCGCCGTAAACGTTCTCTGAACGCGTACAGAGGGAGGGTGGGGGAGATAAAATATTTACCGAACGCGCGAACGCTCCAGACTCCATTCTTGGATAAATTTATCACGGCTAATATTCTGAATGCACGTCTGCTTCCGGTGCCACGAGACCGTTTTCCAGATAGAAGAAAAAAAGGAACAGGAATATGAATTATTGTGTTATCGCACGCATAATATCCGTGTCTACGGGAACGTTGGGTGGCCACCCCGTTTAAGCGTGCGGAAGGTCGTCTGGCTGAACGATTTACGGGCCCTGTTCACACGATCGAGCGAAGCTCGATCGTATTATAAAATTCCTTAAATACTACCTTATGATGGTTAATAAACACCCGGCTTGTAGTACGTATCGCGGAAGTACAGTGAACCCTCGGATTAGCGCAATGAGTCTGCCAACCTCGGTTTAGTGTCCACTGACCTATTCCTACATTCAGTCCCTTGATGTCGTTTTTCTAGTCTGAATCACATTTTGTACTCACACAATTCAAGAATGGCTGGTCACAGAATGTCCATGTATACGCGATATACAGTGTGTTCCACCCAAGGTGAGCATCTTTAGTGTCTCATTTGCTTTTGATTTGCAGAAAATGTATTTTAATAAATACCCAAAGTGATATCTATCAATTTCTATCAGATCACACTATTGTAGGTCATTGGATTGGTCTTGACTTTAACTATTACGCCACGCTGATAAGAATATGTAGTCCCATTTAAAAAAACATCAATGAACTTGAAATTTTGTAAAGTATGACCTCCAGCAAATTTGTTGCATGAGATAGTATTTGCTCATTCTAATCCAATAATACTTTCCCCTTACATTTGTTTGCGTTTTCAACAACAAATAAGATACTGAAGGTGCTCACGTTAGGTGAGACACCATATATGTACAGTAAATCATCGATGAGTGTTCGAAGACTCCTTGGCACCAGGTGTTGAGACGTCATCCCCACCACTGGGCGCTGGACTGATTCCACAGGAGACCCCCTCGCCCCCTCCCTTTCTCCCTAACGGTGGAAATAATGTCTGAACACTGCAACGCCGAGAAGCTTTTGAACACTCATCGATTATTTACCGTATCACTTCTCATCTGAAAGCTCGAAGTTGCAGGCGATTCAAATCATGTCGTAATCTTTATAAAACCGTGAAAAAAGTTTAGTATTAATATAGGGTACAGAGAATAACAGGTAAAAACTGGTGGAACCATAAAACGCGCTGGTATTAAAGTGTATCCTTACGGCTAAAAACTTGAATACAAAAGGTAAATACAGTTTAATATTCTACCACTGTATGGAACCATCACCCACTTAAAACGAGAAAACAGAGAACCGTTTGGACAAACGTATTTCTCTCCGTTCTACGTAACGTTAATATTTTCTGCATTATGACTTAATACTTAAGGCACTTGCGCGTGACTCCACAACTTTCCCTTAACGTTACTATGTTCTCCTTTCTTATCGAGATAACGAAATCCGATCTGCATTAACAATCATCGAAAAGTTAGTTTACAAAATGGCGAAAGTCGCTAGACAAAAGCGTATATGCACACCAGTCGTCGGTTAAAACGAAAATTATTCGTGGACGCAAACAAGTGAGACGAGTCTGGTGTTCCCACGTCGAAATAAATTCTATGTCCACCCCCATTTCTTGATCGTTTCCTGTACATGTCTCCAGTTTCCCCAAATTTACACCACCGAATAGTCCTCTACAAGTATCTGGCCGAAGTGAGTTACCACGTAATCGTGGTAATACATCATTATGCAAAGTGGCTGTCCGATAATAAGACTCGCCCAGACTATGATATTGCCGCATCTGGCGCCCCAGTGACGCTCCACCATCCTACTGAGCAACGATAATGGCATCTGGAAAATCGGTAGAAAGTTTCCAATTGGTGTAACGAGCTCGCGCAAATTAATATTGATCTTTCGATCAGAAAATTAATGAATCTCTACTCGCTCGTCATTTAGGATCGATGATGAGCGATTAGAGAAGCGAGGGATCTAATTGTCTCATTCAATAGAAGATGTTGAATGTGCTCGTTGAGTATTTTGATCGTAGAGAGATATTGACTGTATCAAAAATGTAAAAGTCCCCATGCAGTAATACAGTATTCATCGGCACATGTCTGGAATCGGTTGAATTCTATCATTGAAAGCTGAATAAGTAATAAAGAGGATCGTGATTCTGCATTAACAACAACTCTCAGTGTCCTGATATGGATCCTTTACAAGGATATCAAAATGTAAAATTTAATCCAAACTGAACCGAGAAATCTTTACTCATTTCGCTAACTGTATTGACCCCATTTTTCAAAAATAGAAATCACGACAGATTAATACAGTGGAATATGTATGCTACAACGAATAAAATCTGCGTTCGTTATAACATATTCGTTCCTTGTAACATTCTGATTGTAATCGTAAAAACTGTTCGCTGTAGCATTAGTTCATTGTAGCATAGTCCAATGTACTAGATTACCCCAATTAGTCATCAAGTAAATTCTCGATAACTGCTCGGCAGGTTCTCTACGTTAAATACTTCTGCTCCATTCCCACTACTTAAGGGTCCACACAGGCAGCTCCGCCCAAAGTACAGTTCATGAAGCGACAATTTATGAAGTGCAAAAATCGTGTCACTCCACAATAACTGCTCCGAAGCGTTTGCAAGTTTCGATCGTTAATCGAAGAATTACTGTAGTCCTAAAATTTGTATTACCTGTCCCATCATTCCCATAAATGCCCAGATCTTGAACGTCTTCAATGGCACGCTGACTAGGTACTCGTGGAAGAAGGCGCTGATGAAGAACACCGTGACAGAACCGACTGTCCTACGATATCCCATCCCGAGCATAGGAATGTAAAGATGCCTGGAAAAAATGAATAGGATTCCACGCGAATTAATCTTCGATTAATCGATGGATCGTGAAACGGCGATTCCTAAAGTGGAACCAGCATCTCGTTAGCTCCGTACGGTATTATACCCGGTCCTAAGGAAATACCCACAGGACCACTTTCCTGGCCATGCACAACCGGCCCATTACAGCGTTGTACCACGCTCGGAACAGAAAGGATACCGCGTACGGTACACGGAGCATGCAGATAAGAACGGGGCGTCGCGTTTAAGGATCAGCGGGTGGGAGAATCGCCTCGAAAAATTAAAGCAATAGCCGTGGAAGTTTCCACCGGAATAGCGACAGTTTGGTTGTCGGCCCGCTAACGGAACGACAGAGCGAGGCGCGAGGAGCCAGGAAGAGATCGTTAAGTCGGCTAGGTTATCAGTAGCGTCGCATTGAAAAGAAGAGAAGGAAACGGTGGCGAGCGAAGGAAAAAAAAAAAAAAAAGAACTGGCATAAAGAACCGAAGTGGTGGGAGATTGGGAGGGGGAATTCAAAGGTTGTAGCTAAGAATTTCTAACCAGCCCCGTTTCTGCGCCCCGAAGAGATTCCCGTTTTCAAGGGGATAGACCGGTATCGGGGTCTCGACGAACAGATTCCTTTATTAAATGCATCGATTTTCCAATTCCTTGAAGTGTCACGTTTAAATGAATCTGTTCGTGATTCACGAAATGCCAGTGAGATCAGAAGGGAGCATGTTTTATCGAATACTTTCAGGTTTTGCTTCTTTGAAAAGGAATTTTTATAAATATTAATCAGTATGCACGTTGTTCTGTAAGTGGAGTTATACGTATAAACAGGGTCGATCAGCGAAATGTCAATCTATCTCTCCATGGAAAAACTTTTAAACTAGCTCAAAGTGATCAGTGAACACAAGTACAGCCGTTTTTGATGAATCTAATGTATTGCAGATGAATCACCAGACTTGCACATCCAAAATATAAAAGCGTAAATTTTCTTTTAGCATAACAAAATCAATTTTTCTAGAAACCTATTGTCAGGCCCCATAGAGATCATCCGCGAGGCACAGATTCATCCTCTCCGTTCCATTCCCACTGTCGCCCTCCCCTGTTTAGTCCTCTCGCCGGAATAAACGCTTCGGAATATCTTCCAGTTACAGAGGCATTATAAGTGCCGCGGGGAATAAACAGCCTTAAGTGCGCGCACCGCGATGCGTATCGACTTTTCCCATTAGAAACCTGAAAAGACGTCGTCTTCGTCGACAGTCCCCCCGCCCCAGTCCCTCCCCATTTTCCGTCTTCCCCGACGTCTACGTTCTCGTCGTCATCGTCTCACTGTGCACACGGCTTTCCCATTTTGCACCTCAGCCCACCGCCCATCCTAGGCCGCGCGCGCGTGGCCGCATGGCTGCGTGCCAGTTGCAGCTCGCGATTGCAAGCTGCATATCTCGGGCGAGGCGGAGGTGAAAAAAAAATAAAAAATGAGAGAGAAGAGAGGCAGCATGGAAGCGCAGGTGCAGCCGGAAACGGAAGGGAGAAAGAGAGAGAGAGATAGGTGGGGTTGGGATGGAAGGCGAGGAACGGTGAAATTCGAGCCTTGGGAGCCTCACGTTACCGACGGGCAAAGCCGATTAACGTTTTTGCCCGGTTAATTATTCGGAATCTAGTTAATTGCGAGTTGATAAAAGAGAGAGAGAGACTCGCTCCCGTGCACGAGGGAGCAGCTACCAAAAGTGATTCGAGACGGGCCAAAACGCGAACCAAATTCAGAGAATGCTTTTGTTTACAGTTAATCATTGATAAGTGTTCAAAGGATCCTCAGCGTTGAATGTTCAAACATTATCCCCACCACTGGGCCCTTGACTGGTTCCAGGAGGTCCCTCAGTGGTGGGGATGACGTCTGAACATAACAATTAATCGAGGATGTACTGTACCCTTTCCTCTCTCCACACGCGTGTAACAGAAACACTCCTGAACAATTTTTCTTTGGTCCTGTTGTGGTCGCTGAATTATTACCCCTCAGGTGTTTTGGTCTCGCGAGAACCCTTCGATACGCGGGGTCCAGGAAGAACGTCCAAGACAGCGGATCACCTCCCAACGGTGGGTGCAATAACAACTTTTCGCGCTGGGTAGAAGACGCTCACTTTTTTCCGAGGATTTAAAGTTTCCCTTCGACACCTTCGAACCGATAAAAACTGTAGCCCAGGGAAGAAGCTCCTCGCCGTGGACCGACGAGAGTTTGTCGACGGCGGCACGTGCACCTGCGGGACCAGTGGAAAGCCCTATATATGGGAAAGTTTCCGCGCGCGGGGAAGTGTTCGGTGATTGCATCGAGCCGAGGATGCATAATCCAATGTAACGATGACAGGGGAAGATGTATGGCGGAGGGGAAAACCAGGACGGGCAACACAAGCTTGGCGAGCTTATCTTTCGGGGCGACTACCAGAGATTTTCTAGCTGGATCGACACGAATATCGGGCACGTACACACCACTTGGAATTTTATTTCGATCTGTTCGTGCTTGTACGGGAGGGCTGACTCAAATGCGCTGGGTCTTGTGATAGTTCGTTCGTAGTTCGGTGATTAGGAATATAGTTTCTTGTGACGTGACCAGATGTTTGTACGAATTCAGGTTTCTGTAGATTGATACACGAGGATAGGAATGATTGGTGACTTGAGATGTAACGAGATATCATTTGAAGAATGTAATACTTGTACGATATAGTTTCTTTAGTGACTGGGACTAATAATACGATTGTAGAGAGCAGTGGGCACTGTTTTGATAATTATTTAACACTTTGACTGCCACGTCAGCCAAATACGGGTGACACGTACATTGCAAAGAAGCTGGATTATCTACATATTATTATAAAATTTTTGCGTAAAATTAAGATCGCAGTATAAGTTAGAACCAGGCCAACAGCCTCTATTAACTATACACATATATTTTCGACGATTTATGACTTAAAAAACGAGATGAAGTGTGTCTGACTACGTACGACCATTTTCACTGTGGCAGTCAATGTGTTAATTGGCTGGATATTAAGAAGATTGCAACAAAGCCTGCTGACCGACAGCATAATATTCATGGGGAGGACGAAGTAATTATAACGAGAAACTGACAAAGTTGATCCTAACGTAAAAATAGATTTTTTGTTTCTTGCAAAATGGGGCAGATTTGGTTCGAATAATAGCAGTATCTAAGAGTGTCATCCTGACCTTCAGACAAGTTAATGAGATTAAATAATTTAGTGCCCAGTTGTCCACTCGTTCAAGAAGAAGTGTTATTTCATTGTAGATAGGTACTGGGATTTTCACGTTGAATCACTTAAAAATGGCAAAATACTTATTAAATATTACTAATTAATTTATGAGTCTGAAGTGGATTTTCCAACTTCGAATCTATGAATATCTCTGCCTCGATTTATACGGCGTATGAATTATAGCCGTGTTTGAGTCGAAGATAATAAATAATCTGGGCGTCTGTCACTTCGGAGGATACGAGATTAAGATTTCATGACGAAACGTCGAAGTCACTGGAAAAGTGCATCGAAGCCTCGAATAGTTAAAAGAACGGATTATCCTTCTTCATTGTCTGCATCCAATGCATGTAGACGTGATAAGTTTAATAAGGACGAATCGTTATTAATATTATGGTAACGTAATAGCAACAAGTACTCCACAATTTCTGTTTTAATAAACTAGCGATACCGTTTAAATCTAAAACATTTCTCTAACCTTTTCTTTCTTCGAAATGACGATAAACATTCAAGAACGAGGACAACTACAGTAAATCATTGATGAGTGTTCAGAAGTCACCTCACCACCATTGCGTGGAATCAGTTAAGCGACCAGTGATGGCGTCTGAACACGCAGTACCGAGGAGCCATGGACCACTCATCAAAACGTACAAAAATAAGTATTTGAACCTGACAAAATAGTGTAGATTACGTATTGTTAGACCCAATACTTTTCATCATCTTTCTGTAACAATTCCTTCGAAACGAAATTTGAATATTACATCGAAAAAAATACGCATGACACCCTGTATAACACAAATCCTTAAAGTACATTTAGTGAACAGCTGCTCAACGCCCCGTAACATCCTACCTCGATTTCCAACGAGCGTTACCTACTCTTTTCAAATAAATTCGTAAGTCATTCTCAGATGTACGAATCGCGGATTGAAATACGGTAGCAGCGAAGGTACGAAAGAATTTTACTTTTCCCGCGTTGAATGGTGGGGGGATTGGGGTGGTTCTCGGGGCGAAGGCGCGGTAAATAGCGGCTAGGTGCTGTAAAAGTAAGGAAAGAAGAAGTCGGCTATCCCAGCCGCGAGGTCGTACTTTTGATCGAGCTTCTTTCCGCCTAAGCGGCTAAACTTCGTTAACGAGTGTGCCCCGCTTTAAGGAGATTTAATTACATTTTTCGCGAGAACCCGGCTCCTGTCGGCCCTCCGAAAAGGAAGAGAAATTTCCGTGAATCAGAGACTTTTCCCGCCACCTGCTCTCGACCCCTCGACCGCCATCCCCTTTTTAACCTCCTTCACCCCCCGTGGAAACTGCTGCGCGGCTAATTGTTTTAGCTTCCACCTTCTACTTCTATACTATACATATACATATCTATACATACATACATATATATATATATATATATATATATATGTATGTATGTATGTATGTATATATGTATATGTATATGCTGCCACTCTAAGTACTACTTTTAATGTCCATGAAACTGGAAAGGCTGTCGAGGTAGCCTTCTGTTTGAAAATTATTTCGCCGCGAAATGGGACCACCTCGGACCCCGCGTCGACTAAAAATAAAAAAAAACATCTTCTGTTGTACCGTCTATTTCGAAAAAATATTAATTCGCAGTCGCGTTTATGAACAGCCGGCCCTCGACGTCGACTTTAATTAATTCCCGATCGACACCAGGACCGCAGAATCGTCGACCATCCGTGACATCCCGATATTATTCTGGTTTCAAATCCCCCGCTCTATGTTCTTCTTTTGTCGGAATTGATTGACGGGTCCGAAATATTTGGCGCCGTGAAAAATTTAAGGATCAGAAAACACTGTATTGGGTGTACCGATAAGTAATTCACTATACTATCCAAGCTTCTGTTTAGTCGAAATATGTGAACCACTTATTGGTACACCTAGTATTCTATAAGGGAGACTTGTACACGGTGTCTCATTTAAGTGTGCCCCCCGAATTCCTCTTTTAATTGTGAGAACGCAAAAAATATTTTATACGTAATTTGTAGGGCTGTTTTTTTTTCAAATGTTTTTTTTCAGTTTAAAGTCATATCGTAGTACATATCTGAATGTATTTTTTCATGAGTTGCGCAATGCAATAGCAATTTTTTGTGTTTCCACAAATAAGAAAGGTATTCAAGGGGTCGCACTTAAATTAGACACCCTGTATATCATTTTCATTCATATAAAATTAGAATCTAGTACGGCGATCGGAAATTTGGAAGAATGGATACTCTTTGAAGACTTTCCTTTCCTACAAAGTATTAAAATTTTGAAAAAGTCACTGAAGTTTTTAACGATAAACTATATCAATTGAACTCTTCAATGGCGCTACGCTGGCGTTTCTGCGTTGCTTCTATATGGGAAGGGTTAAATACTATTTACCACGACAAAACCCGTCTCGTCGGAAAGCTCGTGTATTGTGCAGGTGGAATAAGGAATCAACGACGCTTACCGCAGAGCCCATCGATGTACAGGCATGTTCCATGTTCTCCAGAATATGTCGATGTTATTTGCGTTCCACCAGTCACAATAGAAATTCCGATCGGCAAAGTGCAGCAGTTCGCCCAACAGATTAAAGAAAGAATGGAATATCAAGTAGAAGAAGCACAGCCAGACCAGGTGATTCGGTATCTGTAACAACAGGGAAACGAAGATCGGGTCATAAGAACAGCAAGGTAATACCTTCGACGAATTAAACGGGATATATTTACATGTTTCAGCGAGTGTGTAACGGGATCGAATAAAAAAAAATGCGGAACTCAACTACGAACGATTCAAACCGTACATGAGAACTAAGAAGAATTTATTTATTATTTCCGAAAGCATAAAGTTCATCCTTTAATTTGCATAATAATGTTACTTTAGAAATTAGTGTACGGTATGTCTTATAATTATTTTATATTAAAATTCTATAATTGCGTTCGTGGCATATCGTAGTTCGAGAGACTGAATGCTTCATTCATTTGAAATATCAGTTCAGAATCGATCGTTTTCCAAAGTTATCACACGTTAAATCGTCAACCAATACCTACCAATAACAGAACCTTACTGGTACAGAAGCACACACCACACAGCACACCACTTTTATCGAATATTTGCAGAATAATATTTTTCTATATGTAGACGATAGCCATATAACGTATTAAAACACATTTATTAAATAACGCTAAATATGTGGCTCCTCAGCGGAGCCTCTTAACACATTAGCTGCCGCAGTGAAAAAGGCCGTACGTAGTCAGACAAACATTATTTCGTTTTTTTGAAGTCATAAATCGTCGAAAATATATGCGTTAAGTTAATACAGGTTGTTGGTCTTCTTTTAAATTATACTGCGATATTAATTTCACGTAAAATTTTGTAAGGTTATTTAAATAATCCAGCCTCTTTGCAATGTACCTGTCACCCATATTTGGGTGACGTGGCAGTCAAAGTGTTAAGTAGGCAAAGGTTGTAATAACCACTTGCGAGAAAGTTCGCCACCTAGCGGCTGTTATATGAATCTCTTACACTAATAACCACTTGCGAGAAAGTTCGCCACCTAGCGGCTGTTACATGAATCACCAACATATAATTATCACACCAGGACCTGGTCTCATATTTTTGACCGGTAATGAATATATTAAAAGAAGAATACATTAAAGTTTCATTCATAAATACCAATAACTCATAATAATTCATAATACTCAAGTAATAAATACCTATCTAATTTTCATGGTTTCGTTTCTGTTTGTTCATCAATACCAGAACCACGTATGTCAAATGAAGTCCACTTTTCCTGTTTTTTTTTTTCTGTGCACGACTCACAAAAGGTTTTTCACGCGGTATCGCGTGGGGCCGTCGATCTTTGTTAGATCGCGGGGGCGTATAACACACGGTCGTAGCCCACGGCTACGGTGGTATCAATATTTTACTTTCCTTTTTTATGCTCGTATCCTTCATTCGGGCGGGGTTCGTTAAACCGACGCGAATTCGCGTCTCCCGTTGTTCCATCGCCGGCTGCCCCCAGGGGGAGGGTTGGGTGGCGGACCGCGCAATTTCGCGTAATTTTTAACAACTGTTAGTACGCCCAAGGGGGAGAAAAGAGCACGGATGGGGGTACGGAAGAAAGGAAATATGATGGAGGGCGAAAGGTGCCGGGAGGAACATCAAAGCCCTTTTCGCATTGTATAATATATAAAACGGGAACAAAATACCGGGTACGATGGGAGCAATAATGAAATAGAGTGTCTCGTTCGCGTATCATCGGACGCTCGGGCTCGTGACTTGTGAAAGAGGAACGATTCGACGAGGTCGTAAAATTAAGCGAATTACGGAACGGTACGCGAGACCTTATTTGTTCTTTATATTGGAACGAGAATGGAAACGATTTTACATTTATGAAAGGTCTGAACTGCAGTGAAATGGTGATTACGAAGTTGAAATCTTGAAAAAATTACATTTCACGATTGCTTAAATAAGCATTAGGACATTTGGGCTGTATGAAGAAAATATGATGTTAACGAAGACAACACAACTACCACCGTTCTCGCAGGGGATAGAATAGCGTATTATTTACCACAGCACGTCGTCGTCGGCTCGTGCCAGGGCGGCAGCAATTCCATGGTCGGATTGCGTCTCGTTAAGTCGGCGTTTTAGACACAAAGTTCGCCAGGGAATTGCGAGAAAACAACGTCAGGTCGTTTGCGCGACGCGTACCGAAGAGCAATAGAGAGGGAGGGGCGGAGGAGGAGGAGGGGGGGGGGAGAGATGTTGAGGATGGTGCAATCGCAGAGCAGGAGAGATCAGACGGATTCTTCTTTCAGCATAGCGCGTTCCAAGTCGGGGCTTTCTGCCGGTGAAAGAATTTCGAAGTTGTTTCGTTTCGAATGTCTTCTTCTTTAATTCCCCTTGAAGCGGTCCTAGCCGCTTCCGGGACGGGGGTGGGGCCTTTTACCTCGCTGCAAAGGACTTAATAATGTTGCCAGGCACAAAGGTCAAGTCTCTTGTGCCGGCAGGCATCCGCGGCACTTTCACGGAGGGCTAGGACACCCTTCAACCGAGCTGTCTTTCTCACCCCCTTTCATCCCCCATTACACACATACACTCTTGACTTTTGATCCACGTGCCCCCGCAAAAACTTACCTCGACGTTTTAATTTCGTTTGTCCCCGGTATGTTGCCTGGTGAAACGAGGGAGGGGATGGTAGGACGTGGAAAAGGGGGTGGAAGGTTGGGGATGAGAAGACTGGTGAACCGTTTGAGACACCCGTCGATGATACCACAAAGGAAAAAGCCGCGGCATAAACTGTCTAGCTTCCCTTCTTGGCCAGAGGCTAACTCGAGGACGAAACGGAGGGTCCCAACCCCTCGACGACGAACGTTCTTGTCGCGGGGGTAAGTATACCTGCGTTAAGCGATGTGTAACAGAAGGGCAGAGAAGGATTAGGGGAATTTGAATTTTTCTCGGGTCGTTTGTCCTGCTCGATGGGGCAAACTTTTCGTGTAACATCGCGGTCTGTCAAATATATAGATGAAGGCTTCTATTGGCCATGTATTTACAACCCTCTTGACGGAGAATTGGGAATGTTATTTGGGTGTTTCTGGCGCTGTGGGAATTCAAGTTCAATTATCGTTACTTAAAAATTACCACCTTAAACGTCTCCGGAACAATGGAATCACGAGAACAATTTTCCGAATAATAATTCCTTGACATGGCTTCTTTTACATCGAACAACTTTCATTAGAAGGTTTCCCTCGTTCCCTTAGTTCAAGAGATCTGCAGGGCGATAATTTTTAATGATTAACCTTTCAATCGATTCTTTTTAAGCCCAAAATGGGATATTGAAAGTTCACTTCACCGTTCACATTTCGAGGGTTAAAAAGTAAAATCTGAATTTCGATGAAATTGACACGAACAGTGCACGGAGATTTAGTTAATTCACACCCGCGAGCATGGGGTAACAATTTCCTCCAGTCTAAAAGTAACGTGAGTTCAATTTCTACACGTACAACGAGACCGTCTTCACGCTCGCCTGCTCTCGCTGTGAGCTCGCCCGCGACTCCGATGCTGATGGGTTTTAAGCCTCGTCGTATCGTGGCGCACTCCCCTTCGCCGTTTTAAAAACAATGACAACACCGAGGCTCCTCTCGTAATTTCCCCTCGCAGCCCGGTCTCTGCCGTCCAATAAAGTTCGCTCGATTTTTCTCCCGTTTCCTGATTGTTATTCTTACATCCCACTGTTCATACGATAACAGCTACTTCCTAGATTACACAGGGGGGCGCGCGGCAGGCAGGCAGGCTTCGCTGCAGTAAATAGTACCGGGGGCGACGTGCTCCCGAGAGGTTCTAGCGCGGCGGAAGGGAAGAAAAAAAGGAGAAACGAGGGTCGATTGGAGAGAAACAGGGGGAGGAACGGAACGATCGAGAAGAAAATGGAAAATATCGATTAGCAACATAGTATAATGCAAGCCCGGAATAGACGAACTTACGCGAATACCAGGTCCCTGTGTGTCCCCTTTTTTTTTTACACGATCCTCGAGTAACGATAGCACGAATCTACCAGTGTCCATATTACATTCGGCTATCGGTAAGTACATATCGGAAATTCAATGTACCACCCTCGTCCCCTTCTATCGGGCATCTCTTCGTATTCCTGAATCCAATATGCCTGCATTATTGATGGAAATCGATCGATGGGTCCTCGGTATGTATGCATAAAGCACACGTTACAGCTACGAGTCGCGCGGGACAGTGCAAGAGGTCGATGGATGGGAGGAGGTCTGGACAGCGGAGAAAAATCCAGGCCTAGCCATTGTTAATCCTTGGAAGTACGCCGTTCCTGTGAGATTCTTCGCCGGAGGGATACTCTCGGAGCGCTGTAAGTGGATATTTGGTGTATTCTTGGGTACCATTCCCGTCCCCCTTTATTATGCAAAATGAAGGAGTGTATTTGAGATTAATCTTATTTCGAATTTCAGAGAGTTCTTGTATTATTCTTCATTTTCTCGGCGGATACTCGAGGATTATTATGCACTTTGTGAACGATTATTGTTTTGTGATATTTTAAAGTCTGATTGACACTTGAATGAAGATTGATCTGGGTCCATTTTTGTCGTATCTTTTTAGGATAGAAGCTTCTTAGGACACATGAACCTGGAAGCTAGCAATGGTGCAATAAAATCGCACTTTTTCTTGTTTAAAAAGTGCGATGACCCGATGCTAATTAAGAGTTAGTCGATAACCTCCACCACTACGCATGATATCACGTAAAAATGTTCATTTTCCTCACGACAACCGTGCGACTTGGAAACGGACAGCCCGTTCGATCGTCTCCAATCGCTCGCCAGCAGTTTGCAATCCCATAGACGATGTGTACAGGTGAACACCAACATCCGTAAGGCAGCCACCCGTCACTGGGGTCGTCTCGGCGCGAAAAAAGCTCGGAAAAAGAGCAATCGAGGCCTCTGTGGGTCTCTCACCTGCCGGCTCCCCTTTTCGTCGGCGAGTCGTGAACGCGCGCTGGCGCACTCGATCGCGTCAAAGAGATTCCGAAACGAGCGGTAAGAGTGGACGGAGCGAAGGGACGTGCTCGTATAAAGCAGATCGATCTAAGGAAACGACCTCGTTGGCAGCGGACTGCAGGAAAATTGCGTTTCTCCATTACGACGAGATTAAAGTCTCGTCCTACATTGCAGTTCCCTGCTTGTGCGCCATCCTTCCGCCTTTCAGACGTCTCTCCACCTATTCGTAGCTCACCCCACTGTCTTCGAAGTTCACGGTTCGTATATAAGGACCGCAATTAACCGGGGAACGGTCATGGTTGGTTCGACCGACGCGACCAGCCTTCAAGTTATTTGCGGTGCAAACGAAAATAAAGGCCCTAGACGGTAGGGTCCCACCGTTCCAGGGTACCTCGGTTCCTTCTTCCTCCATCGATCCAGTTTTCATTCTTCTTCAGAGGGCTCCTTCGCTCACCGATTTTTCCTTCCCCCGATCGACAAACAATTATTTCTCCCTTTTGCTCGTGGCAAGAGAGAAGGAGAGAAACAGTACGGGCACAAACGGAGCGTCCTGAGAATGAGCAATTCTTCTCGTGGCGTGACTTATGAGATTGGAAGAGGAGAGAGGGCTTTTCGTTAAGGCGGACTTGCTTCGAGGAACGCGGGAGGACTATTCTACTTAGATTTTTCCGAGCGAGACTCAACGAGAACCGATATCGCTCTCCGTGGGGGGCGGGTTATTACGCTCGTTGGGGATGTGGGGGGTCGGTGATTGCCAATCGAGTTACTGGGTAACTTTTTTGATACGGTTTGACGCTTCACGACAGAAAAATCTTACGTAATGCGCCGATCGAAATTTATCTACATATATACACTGTTGTTCGTGAGTGATCGAAGATTTTTTTACTGAACACAGAACGAACAACTTAGGGTTAAAATGTCACTTTAATTATTAACATTAACCGTACCAAAATGACGGGTTTTAAATACAATACGAGTAGGTATTATGGCTGTGGGTATACGTATCCCTCTAAATGGACCAAATCCTATTCAACTGCACGCGTATTCGACACATCTACACATTGGATTATCTCGGAAACGAAGCATCGTACGTAAAACATTTTAATCCACATTTTCCACGCATTTGTGCATGCAAAATTTTTCAATTCAGCTGTACAAATTCAATATTTATTCATTTGTACTACGTATCCTGGCTAGGCCTATATATTCGGACTCTAGAAGTAATCGTAAAAGCACAACGTACGCATTTGAATGCACGGTCTGCGTTCGAGTGACTCCAAGAACAGCGTCCATCGGGGGAGGGCCAATTTCGCCCGCGGCGTTGTTATTCGTGCTCGTTATTCTCTCGTTAGTCCGGATCGAAACTAGTCAGCCGTGGTGTTTCGATCAGTGAACCGGAGTCGGTGAACCAAATTCAATTATTATGACTTCCGTCTCGAAACCGACCACCGCGAATCGTCCTCTTGGAGCGTGTATAATAGCGACGTCGAGTCTACCGCCAGTGATCCGCGATTAAAGCACCGACCAACCGGGCTTCGTTATCAATTTTTTATTCGTGCGGCAACCCCAGTCATTAATTACCGAACGTCTTTTGCGGCGCAAACAACAATCGCCGCACCAGAACACATTAAACCAGAATGATATTTTTTATTTGCATACACTATTCTACGAATTATTCCAAATAAATTAGGATCATCCAAAAACCCCCCGAATGACTGTTTTTGTAATGATAAACGGTGAAATGTAGACGTAAGGATTTTTCATCGCGTTTCTCCCCTCTTGTATAGATCCGATCGCGGATGCACACGATCCCTTTGGCTGCTTGAGTTTTCCAATCAGTAATCTTTCACGGTACCTACTCGTTACTGTAAAATTATTCGACGATATTTTCCCCTAGTTTTTACTATCCTAGTTCTTATATAATAAAGGCGTACTACTACGTCATTTGCTCTCAGTTTTTGTTTTTCAAAATCAAACTGTCAATAACTTAATAACTCGAAAACGAAGCCTCGAACGCAATTTCGTTATTCTTGATTTCCATCTTAGCTTTCGACACGTAGAATCCACTCGGTGAAAATGTTCCGCATTTTTATGGACACCCTGTCTATTAATTTTTACGATTTTTTTCGCCGATGGACACACTCCCTTTGACACGACCCCCCGGCATTTTCCGTTTTACGGTCCGCGTGGACCGCGTACCCGCCAACGGATTTAACGCGGTGCACGGTTTGTAAACTCCGGGGGAAATATTTTAATTAACGCATCGAAAGCGTAGAGAGTGGGATAGTATCGGAAGCTTTAATGGCGGCCGCAAATGTTACGTGTCAAATTACCACACACCGTGTTTTCGGAGTTTACGCCGCCGGTTATGGGTGTGCGGGGCGACACAACGCGCGGTTATTCCCGACTCGGAATCCGATAAAATCCGCGTAACGATGTTAACAACCGTACCCCCGGTCCCTTTACAAGTGGCACGATAACCTAGGGATTGGGATCTCAGACCAGATCGCGCTTGCCACGGTCTAAGGCTGTACACGATCACGTTGAGAAAACGAATCGTGTCGGTCGTCGTTTACATGGGGTATACTTTTTCGATTTATATAGTTAATGTACTTTTTCCTCTATTATGTATAGTTATGTAGTTTAATTTGTTCGTGTATTAATCCAGGAACAAGATTTTCACTCGAATACGGTAATTCCACGATAGATGTTGATGTTTGTTCAAAGAATTACCAATAGCAACGTCCTTTCAAATGACAGACGAGTATTAGATTGTTAGTTGAAGTATAGATTGTTCTCTTAGGCGATCTATGAGCAGAGTGAGTTTTAAAAGACAAAAAACGTGAATGAGTTTTGGGCAACTGGAAAAACCTTTGGGAAAATCTAGACAATTATATGTGATCATTAGAACGCCCAGAAAGATTTTCAGTGGTTCTTAGGAGACTAAAGACATTGCTGACTATACCGCCAGAAACATAACAAGTCTTTACTCGAATCTAAACAACTTTGCATGATCCTTGAAAGACATTATGGATTCTTGAGAGAGCCAAGAAAGTTCTGGGTGACCTTAGAGAACCTTTGAAAATCCTAAAGAATCACTACGGCGATTTCGGAAATACAGAAGGTCACTCGTTGACCCTTGGGAGATACACCAGATCCTGAGGAGAGCCTTGGGAGACCCAGGAGATCCCTAGACGACCTTAGAGAGCCTTGGGAGACCTAGGAGACCTCTAGACAACCGTAGAGAGCCATGGCAAACCTTGAAGGACCTTCATTGAGACTTACTAGACCCAGAAAGCCCTTTGACGACCGTTTAGAGTGAACAAAGATCCTTGGATGAACCTTGGATGAAACCCAAGAGGTTCTCTGGTGACCCTAGAGAACCTCCATTGCTGGGTCTTACCAGAGAAGCAGATGAGCCTTAAATGACTTCAAGACAGCCTTTGGTGAGCTTCAGGACATCATAAAGACTGGCCAGCATGCATGATACTAACCATTTAATACCATTCATACGTGTTAATTCCTTTCGCGATAACAGGCATAAATATTACATTCATACTCACAGCCAGCTTGAGCAGACGTTCGGAGGCCTTCGCGACGTCCATGTTCTGAAAAACAAAAGAAAAACGATGAATTCGTTTCGTAATTCGAAGGAGGTAAAACGGTAAATATAGCCGGAATGGGAAGTTGGGCGATTGTTGAGAGAGGGAAGGGTGCAGGATTCGATGTGAACGAGGGGTACAAAACGAAAGTTCCTAATTGGACGCGAGGCTGCGTAATGTGTAGCGTGAATTCGCCAGTTCGCGCGGAAATTTTCGCGCTGTGATTACGGCGTACAACGGGACACGGTAATTAAAAAATGAATATAATTAACGACTAACCTGATTTTTAAGAAACTGTAATTCGAGTCGTAAACATAATTACGGAAACTCGGGGAATGTTTTTGAGGAGTATGTATTGAAAATCGCCCGGTTCTCGTTTTTCCTGTTCATATTGAGAAGTGGTTTCGGTTTGAAGACTCGCGTAGCCGTCCATAAATTAGCGGTAATTCAATACACACACGTGTACAAGCAACGATTAATAAATGTAGCCATGATTGATATAATGAATTTCTAACCGGTTTTCATTGAGCAATTAATGTAATGAAAACTGAGTAAAATATACTCGTAGTCGATGAAATTTAATAGTCGTTAGTTTTTTACCGTATTACCGCAATAACGATGATTCGACGAGAGAGTACTCCGTTTGGTAAAGATTAGAAACAGTTCCGATAGCAACGCATGCTTCAACCGGAATAGCTGCGGTTCCCGTAAAGTATCCTCTTATTCTCTCTACCCTCCCACCCCGTCCCTGCCCCATGCTCGAGAACGTCGACGGAGCTTTCCAGCAATGGAATTGATATTTCGTGCGGTGTACTAATTGAATACAGGGGAAGGAAGCCGCCCCTCCGGCGTTCCGCTTAAGTGGCGGTTGTCGAGGTCTCTCCGAATGGCACAACACGGGAACCCACGGAGTGCTTATATACAGGGCTTACAAATAAATACCTGAAGAGCCTCCTGTCGATTTCAACACGCCATTTGCGCGTACACAAACAAGAACCGTGTACGCCTCATTCGATATCTTGGATAATTGCGGTAACAAGTCAACCGAAAAATTAACAATCTGAAATACAACATGCAACAATGGATAGTAAATCGAAAATTTATCGACGAAATTAAACAGACAAGGGCAGTGAACGGTTATTAATATCTCAGAATTGAAGACTTGTGACATTGAATTTCGTTCTTTATACTGTAACTTATATTGTTATTAATATTTAAGATAGGGCAGTAGACGAAACAGATATAGAATAATTAAAACCGAGCGACAATTCGACGTTGTTTAGAGGATTCGACGAGCAGTTAATTAGTAATTTATTGTATGCAAAAATATCCTACAGTTTACAATTAATTTCGCTGCTAGGACTTTCTCGCGTGGACTGTCGCCGTTCACCTGAATGTCACACTTGACACTTTTGCGCTAATTCTACGGAATATATCCACGAACGTGTCGCAGTTCGACTTCGCCTCGTAGATGGTAATTTCGCGAATGTTTCGTAGATTAAAACGAACCTGTGTATAATTGTGCGCATCCCGGGATTTGCAATTACAGTGCTTGATGCGGGTTCGTTATAAACTCGGGAATATAATATTCTAATTTGGGGTTCCGGGAGCTGCTCGAAGCGTCACGAGATGTTTTACGGATTGCTTTGACTGTTTAATGCGATCGTTTCGATCCAGGATATCACAGTTTCCACGACGAAGGATAAATTGGCGTCTGTATTAACATGTAACATTAAACCGCAATGTTTATTCGAATGGAAGTTTCAACTTTTCGTAATGTTTTATGCACCGTTTTATATAGTTCCAGTAAAAGTCACCTCTAACTATTCAAAAGTTCCAAACATTTCTCAGCTCTTACTTTCCGGAATTTTATCAACATATTTCACGCAATGTCAGAAATAATTTTATTACCGGATCGTAACTCAAAATTTCCAAATGATCCTACTCGACGTAAAGTTCGACCCGACAGTAGATTACTCGTATGTTCGTTACCGTCCAAAAATGTGGGACCAGAGCTTATGATTAATGCAACAATAACTGATTACAGTAATTCATCGATGAGTGTTCGAACCAGTCAAACGCCCAGTGGTGAAGATGACGTCTGAACACTGATCGATGATTTACTGTATTCTATAACCAATACAAATAATCTTCAATCAGTTTTAGCACATTACTTTTATCAAATCCTTGTACAATAATGATTTCTTTCCTTCTTTAATTATCAAATTTGGCCCCATACTATTGTGTCAGTGCATAAGGAAATTATTTAGTATATAGAATACGAAAACATATTTTACTGTGTATAAACAGTCCTCAGCTAGAAAACGACTCAATAGAGGGATGAGTACCGCGGCTGGAATACCGGAGGGTTGCGTTTAAAACAGCTCACGTAGTTGACACGCTGCACGGAGATCATTCTCCCCCGTCTTTCCATTTCCCATCGTCTCTGTCGCGGACGTGAGACGTTGCACAATGATCGATCGTCCGGTCGGATCAAAGGCCAGAAACCTTCGCCGTACCGTTGGCGGGCTTCACAAAGGGTTATAATAAGCTGTGTCGGGGCGAAAACGCGGTCACTCGAGAGTTCGAGGGACTCGTAACTCGAACCATCTACGACGACGCCGTCTACGCCACTGAAACTGGATACTGTCAGTCGGCAAGAATTCGTGGAAATATAAACGAGGCTGAATTCAATGGCTGGTCAAGGTCGCTATTCACAGCTTACCATTTGACTGGCCCTACTATAGTGTTCATTCAATAGAGCATTCTCTTTGATTTAAAAAAAAATCGAAATCATTGTCAGGACTGCTATTTTTTACTACGCTGTAGCATCCACAATCAAAATGACTCGAAGCAGTGTGATTTCATTCAATTTTCCCATTGAATTTCCGTGTATTCACCCGGAATATAACGTCACGCCTGCAACCGAGTAACCGATAAAAGTAAAAAGAAGCTAAGAATGACGGAGGGGGTGGCCAGGTGGGGAGAGAACCTTGCCCAAGTCCGTTCATCTCGTCTCCGCTATAAGGGCGCCGGTGGTGGCCGGAAATGGGAACGAAAGAGTCCAGAAGAGGCATGAAAAACGGCTGCAGCCGCCGTCCTCTTTTCCGCCGTGCTCCTCGCGTTATCGTCTCGTTCTTTCGACGCCGCGGCGTTTCAATTAGCGGACCCCCCGGAGATTTACGGCTTTGCATCCACGAACACCTTCTTGTCACGCGTCCGCGAGTGTCCTCGAGATATCTACTGGAGGAACTCGACTGGACTCGAATTGAATTCCAAAACGGCAACCGACAATGGATGAAACCCCGTATTATATCTACCGTTCATCACCGTCACTCGTGTGCAGGAAAAATTAACGGTAATTCCAATGCCCTTAATACCACTCTCTCTTGGTGATACAGTGATTCACAAATTTGTTCGAAGACTCGTCATTGTTTAACTGAATTACATATATAACTGGAAATTTTCTTTTAATATTCGGACAAATTTATCATAGAAGGATTGCAGAATAGAAGATAATAGGAATAAATAAATAAGGATGTTATAAAAAAAACTGTAACACTTACTTGTTTTTTTTTTATAAGTATGTATGCGAACAAATGTGGGAGTCACTGTGTTAACTAAGAATGAAACGGGACTGTACAGAAGGGATATCATCAAAGTATCCTCGTTAATGTTAGTGACATGAGCTGTCCGTGAATGAACACCTCCATATGTTGTGTGATTCGACACTGCCAGTTCATTTCCGTGGGAAGAATATTCATGGAAGTTCGTTAACGAGCGAATAAACAGGACGCCAATTTCCGACGTGTCAGACCGCAGGAAACGGCATCGAGATGACAAGCTAAGATACATTTTTCCTCCACGCCGGGGGAACGAAATTATCAACGATACCCTTTTTGTTGCCAACGGTGGTTCGTTCATAATAATCTAGCCCTGTCAGTCGGCCAGAAGTATCGACTTTCCGACCAGAAGGGTTGATACATTTTTACCTGTCGTATTTTAGATCGACCTGCCTTATCAGACCGGGATAAAACCGGACAACCGTCCGACACAGTGAAATATCCGGACTGACGACACTAGCTAAATAGACACTAAGAGGCAGAAGTAGCTTTCCAAGATTTTAAATATGAATTTCATCTAGTTAATTTTTTCGAAACAATAATTGCTATAACTTTCTGCTTCTTTACAGCATTCAAATTATGGACTTGAATATTTCTTGGCCGAAGTAATAATGTATCAAATTAGAGAATTGCTACATCATTTTCAACAAAAATCATCATTAAACATACACTTATCCTATTAAAAAGCTGATCTAACAAAATAACCACAGAGTGACAACATTCATGCACCGTTTTCCCAAAGTACTTTCAAAAATTCTGGTAGTGCACACGATAAAAAAAAAAAAGATTCCGTCACAATGTAAAGAAAGCAGGACGAGGGTCTTTTTTGGCCAACCAAGTGCTCGTCGAGCTACGCATTCGCTGTCTTCGAAGAAGATTCCGTACAATAGCGAGAGGGGGGGGGGAGGGGTGAAGAAATGTAGGAGGGTAAAATGACAGACAGGGAAAATAGTAGAGGGTTTACGAGCATTCACGATGGGAAATCGATACGATATTTCATCCGTTTCACCGTCAACGGCCTCGAAGGTGCAAGCAGCCAAGTTGCAGAGACTGCACCACCCACCCCATCGAACCCCCTCCCCCCACACTCCCGCTGTTACTCCCCGCTAACACCCTCGAAAATCCTTTAAACGTTCATCCCTTTAAGGAGTAGCACGTCGTCGAGCCGATAAGCCGACGGGCTCGATGCAACTCACCCTCCAACACCGTGCACCATCCTCCTGACGTTACCTTTCGATCGGTCGATTGCCCTACAGTGTGAAGTCATGCGTGTGGTGGAGGCACCATGAAAGATAGGCGAAACGTGCCGCCGCCCATTTGCATCTCACCGGCTCGGCGCAACGCGAGGGGAGCAAATTTTCGACGATCTATAATCTGAATTAG